GGTGCGGTGGCTCACGCCTGTAATCCCAGCAGTTTGGGAGGCCGAGGTGGGTGAATCATGAGCTCAGGAGTTCAAGACCAGCCTGACCAACATGGTGAAACCCTGTCTCTACTAAAAATACAAAAAAAAAAAAAAAATTAGCCGGGCGTGGTGGCATGTGCCTGTATTCCCAGCTGCTCAGGAGGCTGAGGCAGGAGAATCGCTTGGATCCAGGAGGCGGTGATTGCAGTGAGCGGAGATGGTGCCACTGAACTCCAGCCTGGTGACAGAGTGAGACTCCGTCTCAAAAAAAGAAAAAGAAAAAAAATTCTCTTTACTGATATTTTGAGTAGTGTTTTGGAAGAGAACAAAATTAGATACATATGTTTATTCACCATGTTTTCTCAAAATAGACCTGATTTTTGTATTTTATAAAGTGTGTCATACACACTTTTTTTTGTGTGTGTGATTTTAGATGGATACTTCTGTGTCCTAGTTCCTCTGTCATTTGAAGGATTCACTTGGTTTTTTGTTTCAGCTAGATGAAAGTGTAGGCATCTGAACTGTCCAGTACTTAAGCGCTGAGGATAAAATGTATGAAAGAATAAGGAAATTTATTTTTGTAGTTCTGTAAGTTCATCACAAATACTAGAAATAGCTGTTTTTAGAAGAAGTGGGTTTGGCATTTGGATTTTGTTTTTAAAAGGAAATTTTTTGTTTTTTTTTTAAGAAAATCATCCTAAGGTTTTAAAACTTGTGTAATAAGTTTCCAGGTATAGGAAATATTTGGACTACTGTGTTTATTTGGGTATATTTGCTACTTCCTGTATTTTTTGGAGAAGGGTAAAGATATTCTTTCCTTGATAGTCTCTTCTAATTTTCTCAGCATCAGTAGTCTTAAGACTTGACCAGGGAGCAGTTAGAGGCAGAACTGACTATTTTGCTGACAGTAAAAGAAAAGGTCTGAAAAATAGTATGAGAGACCCTAGGTTGAATCTGTTAGTATTAAAGCATTGAATACTCTTAACAATTTATTATCACTTTTTAAATTTGTTAGTTCTTTTTCTTCTTCATTTATGTACTAAATAGTCATCGCTTACTGCTTTACTCTATATTTTACCGGTTCTCACTTGGGGTTCTGTTGTCCAGTAGTTCCTATACTTTTTTCAAATATATACTCAAGTCAGACTTCATTTTTTTTTAAAAATAAATTAGCATTTCTGTATGTGGATCTAGGGTATGTTAATATTTAAAGGTTCTGTATTTTTCTTCTGTGCATTCTTTTTTTGTTTGTTTGAGATGGAGTCTTGCTCTGTTACCCAGCTGGAGTGGAGTGGTGCGATCTTGGCTCACTGCAACCTCCGCCTCCTGGGTTCAAGTGATTCTCCTGCCTAAGCCTCCCAAGTAGCTGGGATTACTGCGCCTGGCCTCTTCTGTGCGTTCTTGATTAAAAACTACTATAAAAAGGGCACAGGGCCTGGCGCGGCGGCTCACGCCTGTAATCCCAGCACTTTGGGAGGCTGAGGTGGGTGGATCACGAGGTCAGGAGATCGAGATCAGCCTGGCCAAAATGGTAAAATCCCATCTCTACCAAAAATACAAAAATTAGTTGGACATGATGGTGGGCACCTGTAATCCCAGGTAGTCGGGAAACTGAGGCAGGAGAATCACTTGAACACGGGAGGCAGAGGTTGCAGTGAGCCGAGATGGTGCCACTGCTCTCCAACCTGGGTGACAGAGCGAGACTCCATCTTAAACAAAAAAAAGAAAAAAAAAAGGGAGGGGGGCACAGAGATATAGCACAGTACTGAATAATCTTATTTTTTCCTTTTACTTGAGCATGGTATAGCAGATAAACTGTCTTACAGGTAGGAAAAGGACTATGGGAAGGTTAACGTGTGTGTGTGTTACTGTTTTAGGCAAATACTGAAGAGTACAGCCGACAAAAGACGATGTAAAAATTTACAAGTTCTGTGTTAGCAATTTGATAACACTTTTAAAAATGAGTATTATGGAACACATTTTTGTCAGGTCGTTAATATTCTCTGTACAGATTTTGGAGAAGTAAATCTTTTCTTTATAGTTAGAGCAAATGATAGGTTCTCAGGTTAAAGTGTCACTTTGGGATCATAAAAATACAGTGTTTTGAGAACTGAAGACTCTTTAGAAGATTTCACAGTCTGAAACTGAAAATGGTTGTTGAAGATCATGGATGTGTTCATGGAAAATAAAATTTTTAGGATTCTGATTCTGCTGCTCACTACACTTAATCAGTAACTAAGTCATTTTCTGCCAGCACATGAGCTTGTCTTTAAATTACTTATAGAGCCAGCTGAGTTGAGCTCTATTCTGTTTTCCTTGACAGATAAAATTTACCCTAGTCTGTAGGTTGGGTTCTAAAGGCTCAATATGAGCCACATTTTCATACCCAGTGTGTATTCCTCTTAGAGTTCCTTATGTACACTCCTCAGCATGCTTCAAAAAGATAGATTTTGACTGCCAGGTTCTTTTCTTTTATTATAATAAAGGTCAGTAGAATCTTTCTTAGTGATGTTTTACATGATCTAAATTAAAAGATTTTGTATTAGTATGTGTCACTTCGTTAACATTAAATCTCTTTTCATTGTATGCACAACCTGTAAATAATTTAAAACTAATCTTAAAAACTGGAAAAAGGCTGGGCATGGTGGCTCACACCTATAATCCCAGAACTTGGGGAGGCCGAGGCAGGCGGATCAGTTGAGGTCAGGAGTTCAAGATCAGCCTGGCCAACATGGCGAAACTCTGTCTCTACTAAAAATACAAAAATTAGCCGGGCATGGTGGCGGGCACCTGTAATCCCAGCTATTTGGGAGGCTGAGGTAGGAGAATTGCTTGAACCCGGGAGGCAGAGGTTGCAGTGAGCAAAGATTGCGCCGCTGCACTCCAGCCTGGGCGACAGAGCGAGACTCAGTTTCAAAAAAAAAAAACCTGGAAAAAAATTGACACATGCCTACTAATTATCAATACAGTTACAGACTCAGTTTAATAAATAAAGGAATATTGTCTCTCAATTAGTACAACCTAATTATAAAAATGAGTAGCTGAGGAGACAAACAGTACTTGTTTGTTTTTGACTAATTAGAGCTAGATTTTGATTATTTATTTAGAGACAGAGTCTCTCTCTGTCCCCCAGGCTGGAGTGCAGTGGTGTGATGATAACTCGGTGTAACCTTGAACTCGTAGGTCAAGCAGTCCTCCTTCCTCAGCCTCTCAAGTAGCTGGAGCTACAGGTGTGTGCCACCGTGCCTAACTAGTTTTTAATTTTTTTGTAGAGACAGTCTCACTATGTTGCCCAGGCTGGTGTCAAACTCTGGGCCTCAAGCAATCGTCCTACCTTGACCTCCCAAAGCACTGGGATTATAGGTGTGAGCCTCCATGCCCAGCATCAAGTTATTGTTGTTTTTTTTAAGTTTTTAAAAAAGTGTGTCTTTCTTTAGTGCCAACTGTTTGGAAATAGTAAGTTTATTTTGACTGTGGTATATCATCGTTTGAATATACAGCTGATGTTATTCAAAGTAGATGTGCCAAAAAGTTCTTGAGAGCACTGAATTAGTAAACACTGAGCTGTTGCTCCTAGGGGAAATACAGTGTTAGATTTCTTTGAGCCTCTGGTAAGATTTTTGTTATCCCATTAATGTATACCCTTGTTTCATGTATGTTTCTTTTTAAAGGCACTGCATTTAGTGTATTATTTTAGTATATTCATTTATATTCAATAGCACTAGAACACATGTCTGAGCAAAGCTATCTAACTTGGCTTTTTCTCTGTAAGACACGTCACAGCTTCCTTGTGTTTAGTAGCCAGCACTTCAGCAGTATGCTTGGGGGCCATTTTAAATAATGAAATCACTAACAAAAATATGAAAACTGTGTTACTAAATAGAACTGTGAAAAGGATACTTGTTTATAGTATGAGAGCTGAAACTAGAAAGCAGAGTATCATCTTGTTCAACCTCAACTGGGAATGTGCACATCAGTGGACTCAAATTTTTGTTGCTCTGCACATGTGCATGTCCATGAATAACCATATTTTGATTTGGGGGTTATAAATATGTTTTAGCGCGCAGGTAAATTCACAAATATGGAATCATGAATAATGAGTTTAGACTACGTTTATTTATTTCATCCCCTGTTGATGGACTTACAGGTTTTTCCTCTTAGAAACAAGGCTATAGTAAATATGCATATGTAACAGCATACATGTTTGAGGAGTTTCTTCAGGGTTTGTCCTAAGAAGTGGAGTTACTAGTATGTGCATTTACAATTTTGTTAGCTATTTGTATTAGTCTGTTTTCATACTGCTGATAAAGACGTACCTGAGACTGGGCAATTTATAAAAGAAAGAGGTTTAATTGGACTTACGGTTCCAGTGGCTGGGGAAACCGCACAATCATGGCAGAAAGCAAGGAGGAGCAAGTCCTGTCTTACATGATGGCAGCAGGCAAAGAGAGAATGAGGAAGACGCAAAAGCAGAAGCCCCTGATGAAACCATCATATCTTGTGCAACTTAGTCACTCCACAAGAATAATATAGGGGAAACCACCCTCATGATTCAGTTATCTCCCACCAGGTCCCTCCCACAACACATGGAAATTATGGGAGTACAATTAAAGATGAGATTTGGGTGGGGACACACAGCCAGACCATGTCACTATTTTATTGTTGCCAAATTATTCTCCAGAGTGGTTACATCAGTGTATACTCTCACAAGCATTATATGAAAGTTTCCATTTACCCAGATTTTTGCCAGCTCATAGTGTATGTATGACTTTACATGTTTGCTATTCTGATAGTTATAAAATGGTATAGATCATCATAATTTTGAGTTTTCTGATTTCAGTGTCTTCAATTTGAATCTGTTGGAGACCAGTATTAATAGTTTCTAAAACAGTTGTTTTTGAACTGAAGACTTTAACCTTTTATTGTGATATTTGTCAGTAGTGATATGATCTCTATTATATATCCAACTTATTTTTCAGTTTGCTAATCCAGACTTTACACAGCCTATCTCAGAAGTTGTAGATGAAGTAATTCAGAATTGTCCTATTGATGTCAGGCGTCCTCTCTACAAGGTATTTATAGCAAAATTGTTATTCAAGGTCTAACTTAAAAAAAACTTTGATGTAGTCTGTCCATTTTTTGATATTAAACACCTCTCATAAAAAGGATATAATAGCATTTCAGTACTGTATACCTTTAAACTTTTCTTTTTAAATATTTATATTTATTTTCTCTCCACTAGAATATTGTCCTCTCTGGAGGTTCAACCATGTTCAGGGACTTTGGACGTCGCTTGCAAAGAGATTTAAAAAGAACTGTAGATGCCCGGCTGAAATTAAGTGAGGAATTGAGTGGCGGTAGATTGAAGGTTGGTTTTTTTGATTATTGGTGAGAAGGTTGAGGGTGCCTTCCTTGATTGGGTTGAGAAATATTTGCCAACATTCCCTCTGATTTAGGAAAATAAGAGGAACCTGTCAGGTATTCTAATGGAAATGGTTAATGTTATAGATTTATGTCTATGATATTCTGGATCATTTGATTCTTTTAGGATATTGTCTGTATTTCTGGAAAATAATTCTTAGTAAATCTGTGGAAAGACTTTTTTTTTCTATACCTCTCTCATAGATAATTAATATAGTAGATTTCTTTGGATACACCAACAATAAAATTAATTTTGGATCCACAAAATTTTATGTACTATAGAAGGACAACGAAGCTGAGTTGAGATTGACACCATTGTTGAGTAGTCAAGCCTGCTCTCAAAAACTGACTTTAGCTACCACATAGCAACCTCAAAGTGTGCAATCAAATTGGTGGTTTAACAAAGTAACTTTTGTATTATATGTCCTGGACCTTTAGGCTTGAGGTAAAAAAAAATCAAAATTAATTTAAAATTCTCAGATGTCTGCTTTCTATATTTAGAGATAGATTTTTCATTTTTTTTTCATCCTTGTTAAATATTGAAGCAGAACATTGATTTAGAGGATAAGTTGCTAAATAAAATACCTTCTGCTTGGAAAATTACCAAGAATGAGCACTTTATCTGAGACTTCCACAATCATTCAGAATTACTTAAAAGTAAAGCACAACACTCTAGGGTTTGCTGATTGTTGAGAAATTGCATGATGGCTGACTCTTTTCAGCACCTATATTTTGATTATCTTGAGTAAACCTAGCCATAGGAATGCAGTAAAAAGTGTGTGTTTTGGGTAGAAGGCAAAATATTGAACTCTGTCTCTATAACGTCATGACTTCATACTTAAGGAAGTCTACTCAGTAAACTTTTAAAATGTTGCCTCTGCTTTTGCATCCCCTTCCCAACCAACCAAACCACCAGCCCACCCACCCATTCATCCATTCATCTGTCCATCCATCTACTCTCCTTATCCACATACCTATCTACCCTACCTCCTACCTAAAAAAGAAGTCATTGGGTTTTGCAAGTATAATTTTAAATTCTCTGTACTGAGAATCCTACTAATCACATTGATTATGTGAATGAACGTAGTGCATATTCCGGTTTTTTTGTTAGAATGCTTAAGAGATTGACGTTGATTGTCCTAATGGTGTGGTTATGGATGTATTAAGTAGCCATTTAGCTTTTAATACCTCATTATAGATATATAAGTAAAAAACAATGCTGTATGTTTTTGAGTACAGTATTTTAATAAAGTAAGATCGTTTAACATTTTTAAACTCTTTTTACACTTGTAAATAAGAAATAAATTTACCCAGTGATGAGTACTGTATCCACATACCGAAAGACACAGATTGGGTATCCCTTTTTTGAATTGCTTTGTACCAGAAGTGTTTCAGGTTTTGAGTTTTTCTGGATTTTGGAGTATTTGCATTATATACTGGTTCAATATCCTTAATCCAAAAATCTGAAATCGGGAGCATTTTCTTTGAGCATCATGTTGGTGCTCAAAAAGTTTTTGGATCTTGGAGCATTTTGGATTTTCAGATTTGGGATGCTCATCATGTATATGAAAAACCTTGTGTTCTGGAGGACTGCCTTCTTCACCTTAATTTTTCTTGCTAGTAACTTTTATAGGTCTTAATAGCATGTGTTTATATATCTATCTATCTCTGGCTTCATTCTCCTTCAGTCTGTAATTTTTAATGGCAACCAAACAGCTTTGAAAAAAGCCGTATCATTCTGTTACTATAAATATGTGTGTGTACACACACACACACACACACACACACACAGAATTGCAGATATGATGGTTCATTATCCCCAATCATTTTAGTATATTTCTAAAATCAGGAACATATTACAGTTGTCAAAATCATGAACATAACCTTGATCATCCAGTGTTATCTAGTTACAGAACTGATTCTAATTTTACCAGTTGTTTCACTAATGTCCCTTATAACAAAAGGAAAACCAAATACCTTTTTTTCCCCCTTATCCAGGATCCAGTCAAGGATTGCATGTTTCATTTACTTACTGTGTTGCTTCAGTCTGTTACATACTCAATGTTTTTTGTCTTTCTTGAATGAATGTAACATTTTTGAAGAGTACAGTCATTTATTTTGTAGCATATCCTTCAGCTTGGGTTTGTTTAATATTTCTTCTTGACTAGGTTCAGATTATGTAGTTTTGGTAGTGATGCCACAGAATTGAAGTTGTATCATAGTGCATTGTATCAGTAGACACATGATAGAATTTGTCCTGTGTGTGGATTTTGAGCATTTGGTTGAAGTTGTGTCTGCCAGGTTTCTTCACTATAAAGTTATTTTGTTTTCCTTTATATTTAGTAAGAATCTTATGAGGAGACACCTTCAGACTATCCTGTTGCTCATTAAAGTTTCAGTCACTAGTTTTTAGCATCCCTTGTGATTCTTTCCTAAAACAGTTATTGCTGTGGTAGTCGCTAAATGGCATTTTGCAAATTCCATCATTCCTTGTATGTTTTTAAGTCTTGTTTTACTATAAGGAAGAGTTTTCCCTTCTCCCACATTCATTTATTCTTTTAGTAATATCTATATGAACTCCTGATTTCTCATTTTGTGGTCTGTATCTTTAATATCACTGTGATATCATAATACCAGTAATACCACTCATCATTAATTTTAATGCCACTTCCCCGCCCCCCCCCCACCAGATTTGACCAGTGGGAGTTATTCAAATGGCTCTTAGATTTTTTTTTTTTTTTTTTTTGGATGTAGCCACATCTTTTTTTGCCTACCTCTGTACTTCCTGGCATAGCAAGGTGTTTCAGGCTGATCTTGTACTTTCTGTTTCTGGCCCTGGAATCGGCCTTTTTCCCCCCTTTTCTTTCTTCAAGACATCTTTGTCTTGTTCCTTTTAGTGGAGAACATTGCTAAGAAACCAAGCTTTGTGCTCATTACTACTGGGGTATCATGGAGTCTAGGAGTTCTCAGTGATTAGAGTTAGGGGTGTGTGTGTGTGTCTCTACATCTATATCTAATTCTCTACGTAAATTAAAAACCATGAATTTTTACGGATGTCTCCAGTTGTAGAGGGTTCACTCTAGTTTTCTGCCCTTCAGTATTGTAATGCCCTTCTGTGACAGTGAGAAGCCTGGCTCCTGTTATCTATATAATATATTTATGTTTTTGCTTAATCCCAGAATATGTATATAATAGTTTCAGAATTGTTAATCCATACTGTGAAAAATAGACCCAAAACTAGAGTTCAGTATTTGCTTATATTTTATCTTTAGCCTGAAGGCTTATAAGATGCAAAATACTGTGTTCACAAGTTGCTTGAGTTAGTCCCTTTCCTCACCTTAGTATGCTTATGTTTGAAAAAAGTACAATTAGTTTAATTTGCTTTTGCTGTACTTTGTTTTGCCCCAACCTCCCCTTCTTTTAAGGTATTATTTTTAAATATGTAGAACACTAACATTTAGGTTCTTCAAGTCAGAACTGTATAAAACGTGTACTCATTGATGTTTTCCTTCCATTTATTCTGCTCTGTTCCCTCCCAGTCTCTTCCACAGTGTTCCCAACCCCTTCTCTCTGAGACAGCCAGTCTCAGTTGTTTCTGGTTTGTAAGATACCACTTGAATTTAGTACAAATATTATTTTTGTATATGTACATTTAAGGTTAAATGACACAGAAATTGTTATTTGAATTTACTATGAAGATGATCTTACTATGTCTTTCTTAGCCAAAACCTATTGATGTACAAGTCATTACACACCACATGCAGCGATACGCAGTTTGGTTTGGAGGATCAATGCTGGCTTCCACGGTGAGTGTGATGAAGCTTACTTTTATTTTATTTTATCATTACTGTTTTCTTATTTTATTTATTTATTTATTTATTTATTTATTTATTTATTTATTTATTTTTGAGATGGAGTTTCGCTCTTGTCACCCAGGCTGGAGTGCAATGGCATGATCTTGGCCCACTGCAACCTCCGCCTCCTGGGTTCAAGTGATTGTCCTGTCTCAGCCTCCCAAGTAGCTGGGACTACAGGCGTGTGCCACCACACCTGGCTAATTTTGCATTTTTAGTAGAAACTGGGTTTCACCATGTTGGCTAGGTTACTCTCAAACTCCTGACCTTGGGTGATCCACCCATCTCGGCCTCCCAAATCATTGGGATTACAGGCGTGAGCCACTGCTCCCGGCCTTTATTATTATTTTTTATTGAGATGAGGTCTTACTATGTGCCCAGGCTGGTCTCAGACTCCTGGGCTCAAGTGATCGTCCCACCTCAACCTCCCAAAGAGCGCTGAGTTTATAGGTGTGAGCTGCTGCGCCTGGCTGAAGCTTATGTTTAAATTTATAAATATTTTTTTAAGATAGAAGAGTCTATCTGTACTTAGTGAAGAACAAAGCAAATTCCTTTAAATTTTATCTAAAAATAATAGGAAACTTTGTCTATATATATTTGTAGTATTTTAAAAATTGGAAGTAATTTAAATTTAATTGGAAGTCATTTTAATTTTTTTTTTTTTTTAAGCTTGCTAGCCATTGTTTTAGAGTGACCATTTTATACTATGTTTTAAAGTTTATCTGTAGGGAAGGTTCTATTAAAGCTGGTAATTTAGTCATCAGAAGGTCCTTGTTTGTTCTGTTTAAGTATTTAAAAACATTAAGGTAAAAGTTAAGTTTCATTGCATAGAAAGGATGATGTTCTCCACTGAGTAAAGGGAATTATTCTAAATCCTGTCCCCAAATTAAAATGTCTTTAAAGCCCCCTTAAAAGATATTCTAGTGTTCTAATACCATTAACCTAGGAAGTATTGGTGTTTTGTTCTGGTAGTGCATGGAATATTAAAATGAAGGAGCTTTTATCTGAATTATTGAATAACTGTACAACTTTGGATTTAAAACCATTTCCAAAATAGGAGGTGAAAGTTATTTTCTTCCTCAATTTTAGTCTTCTTCAGTTGGGCCTTATAACCTAGTTGAGTTTGTGACTTTGCCTTGAGAAATGAGGTAACACAGCATGGAACAGTCCATCTTTTCCAGATCTTGAGTGAGGAAGGCAAATGATCTAGACATTTCTTAGAACTAGACGAAAAATGATCATAGCATGACTAGGAGTAGTTTATCTGTAGTTAGGCGAATGCTGCTTCTTTACATTATTGGTGCAATGAAAGTGTGGGAAAGTCTCAACAGAAGAGACTAGGCATTTGAGAACCTTCCATTCTTCAAAATTTCAGAATCCTCGCGGCAGGTGTGTGAGACAAGGATGGGGGACAGGAGTTAATTGCTCTTTTGGAGTTCCGATAAAGATTTATAGCTGGTTGTAAGTCATGGTTGCTAGAATTTCTAAGCTTTCATGCCATGAATGGACTAATAATAAACATTTTAGACTTAACATCTATTTTAAAGCATCACTCTTAAAATTTATTTCAGTATACTTTGAAGATGGTAGATTTTTGACCTTTATAAAAATACACATTTTTTGTTTTCAGCCTGAGTTCTACCAAGTATGCCACACCAAAAAGGACTATGAAGAAATTGGACCTAGCATTTGTCGTCACAATCCAGTGTTTGGAGTCATGTCGTAAAATTGACTTCATAGTTATTGGGGTTAGGGAGGTGGGGAAGAGATAATCTTTCTGATTACCTGTTTTGTCTGGATGGCTGGTTTTGAGGTTTTAAACCTGACTTGAAATAGTAACACCAAACATGATTATACAGGAATATTTTAATAAGTGTATCAACATGCAGATGTAGAAGAGAGCGAAAGTGATTGTGTTTTTCTTTAGATTGAATATTTGAATCTTATGTGTAACAAAAAGAAGTGGGTTTTAGTTCTTTCTGTGCCCTGATATTTTGTATATTAATGAATTATCCAAGATTTGATGGGATTTATCAGTGTGTAGATAGCTCTATAATGCTTGAATTGTACACTTCTAAGTGTGCAGTGCAAGAGCTTGTTTATATTTCATACTTTTTATACTTTGAGGAAAAAAAGTCAAAGAAAAATTGTATTTGAGGGAAAAAACCATGACCAAGTAAAGGATAAATTGAAAAAATAGCCTCATGAGACTTGGCATACACACTCATGGGATTCCAGTTATTATGGAGTGCTTCCATCCCTCTCCACCCCTTCCCCTGAAAAGGTTTTCTTTGCAAGTGCTTTTGGAACTAAGAGCTAGTATCTTGGATTAACTGATGCCTGCTAGTGCTTTCTGATTACTTGCATTCTGTTTCTTGCTTTAAAAGAAGAGTAAAGACAAGAGTGTTGGACCAGTATTGCAGTTCTGTAGTGTTGTTTCTTATAAAAAAAAAAACAACAACAATAATTTATCAAAATTGGCATATTTAAAGCCTAACAACATTCTAATAAAGGCACAAATTTCTTTTTAATACTTGTTTCAGGCTCTTTAATCTCTTTATAAGTTAACTAATAAATCTATTTTCTTCAAACTTCTGCAATAGTTCTTTAAAATCACAACAGTTGTTAGCAAGCTGACTTTTTTAATGTGCTCAATACAAATACTTGTGAACTTTTAATATGTTGAGTGCTTTCATTTTGATAACTGGATCTCCATTTGATATTTTCATTTGTATAACTCATTTGCAGTCTGAAAATTTTTTTTAGTGCCAGTCCCTGAACATACCATTGAAAGTTAATTTTCTTTGCATTTTAAAATATCTGGATTATGAAGAAAAAGTGATGAAAATAAATTAAAACTGAATTACCTTTTCTAATGTTTTTTTTTTTTTTTAAAGTAATGTAATTCTACTTTGTTTTTATGTATGTGATATGATATCTGTTTCTGTTGAGATTTGGGAGTTATTGAAATCTCTGTAATGTGTATGGTGGAAAATTTCTTGTGACCTTAAAATTTTACCAGTTATTTATAGAAAGATAAAATGGGAAATGTTTCATAGGCTTTTTACTAGCAATTGTCAGTGAACACTTGAACTCCATCATTCATGAAAATAACACGTTAGGATTAGAATACTTCTATTCAAAAGTGAAATAATATAAAGTGTTTAGTTTTTTGTTTTTACTATGAAGATAGAATTGGGGAGTAAACTTCAGTTTTTGTTTAGAGTGGATCTGAATATTTAAAATCCTATAATCATTTTTGTGAATCTTCCTTCTTTGAGTATGGAATTGTAAAAGACAAACTATATATCCTATAGTAGTATCATTGTCAGTATCAAAGGTCCCCCTTTTTTTTTAAACTGGAAAAAGTATTTCACAAACATTATAAAAATACTATTCAAACAGTACCAAAGAGTAGATTAGCAAAAGTAAGTTTTTTTTCCCTAGCCTGTCTCATTTTTACATCATTACACAGACTATTTGGAATGTCTTAGATGTCCTTGTATTGTAATTTTCTGTGTAGATAGAAATAAATGTAGCTTTCTTATTTTACACAAATAGGAACTTACTGTATATACTGTTCTGCACTTTGCTTTATTAAAGATCTTTTGATAAAGAACTATATTGATAAGCAGTAAAGATGTCTGGCTGCTGGCCCAATAAAATATTGTTAGCATCGTCATAAATGTCTTTTCCGCCGGCGATGGTTGGGTAGTAAGTGAATAAGCTAGAAAGACATGTGTATAAAGCTGTTTGATGACAATCTCAGGCATATTTATACAGAGATGTTCTTAACTGTTTGCTACAAAAACGTGAAGGTCAAAAACTTTCTTTAAGCTTACACTTATTTGGGGAGACAAAACTCCAGCCTTTCTTGTGTATTTCCTGATACCCCTTTTGCTCTACTTTTGGAGGAGTGAACCCTAATAGGATGGTAACAGCATTCTTGTTTCTTTATATCTCTCTCCTGTGATTGTATATCATTTTTTCAACTTAAAGCAACTTCAGTTGGAAATATGTAGAGGTTGACCAAGGTGAACTAAAAAGTCTGTAACACTGATTAGATATCAAGCAACATGAGCACGGTACATTGGAAAAGCACCAACTGAAGCCAGTGATTGAATTTTTAATTCTGTTTCTGATAATTGATGATATAGCTCCTCGAAATTTGTTTTTTGTTAAAACTTGGAAAATATATTTTTATTATTTTGGACAAAGTATTTGAACTCTCTGGACCTTAATTCCATTTATATATCAGGTAAAGGCATTATGCTGGATTATCCTGCAATTTCTTTGAGTTGTTAGAATATAATGTAGCTTAATAATAGCAATATTAGCAGTGTAGTAGATTCTGACTGCAAAACCTAGCCTTTTCTGTTGATTCATTTGTAGTAGTTAAAGGTGTTATCTGATTTATCCTTTTTAATAGGCAGTGCTTTGATCAAGTGGGAAATAGTAATGGACAAATAAAATCAATGGTCATTATCTTAACTTGATTCCTGCTTTTCAAAAAGTGAGCAATTTTCACGTCTTAACCCTTAGACATTAATTCATGGCACCTACTATAAGTACTCACCCTCTTACCTATCTTCTTTTCTGTAAGAGATAAAGTGGTTATTCAGACCCCCCAATACAATTTTTTGCTTTATATTCACAGCTACTTAAAGATCAAAATAACTATTCTTGCAGATATTTCTAGGAATATATTTAGAAATAATATGAAATACAGGGATAATAGGCCAATTATGATCTTTATTCTTAATTTCTACAGAAAAATACTGGAGAATATATTTATAGAAACTTCTTTCAGATACTAGAATGTTTATAAAATTATTGAGGAGATTATTTGTGTTGTAAAAGACTTATTTGTACCGTAAAGAATGTTTTTGTTCCCTTCGTTCTGGGCTAATCTGTCAGTAGTGAAGTCCAGTCTTTTCCCCCTTCTCTTACCAGCTCAACCTTGATTCCTGTGACCCATTCTTTCTGAACTTTCATAGTTCATAGTCACTAGGCATGAGTACCTTGGATAGCCCTCTGAAGTCTCTCTGTTAGCACCCAGATTTCCAACTCAGGTTAATTGGTACTAATTCTATTAGCTGGTATAAATAATCCAAAATCTATGCAAACTCTGGGAGCAAAATGTTCTACTCAGTTTGGAATCCTGTGCCTTAAAATATATTTCATTGTAACAGCACCTTGTATATATAGTTGGCCAAAGACAGAGTTATTACAAGTTATGTGGGACTTTCATAGCAAATCTTGACAGTAAATGCTTGGTTCCTATATTAGGTCTATATCCTGAATTGACCTTTAGCAAGAATCTTTGGATCTGCTGGAGGGCTGGCATGGCTTTTGGACTTCAGTGAAAAAGAATTTCTGCTACTCATTGTTGATAATGCTTCAATACTGTATAAATGTTTATCCTTTTCCATATAATTTGTTTTCTATTATATGAGAACTTTTATTATAATTTGCCTTGGTCTTGATAGACTCTTAACAAAAATAAATTAAAATATATGGTCATCTGAGGTATTCTCCATGCTATAACCCACTTTAGCTGATGCATTTGGAGCTTGGGTGCTGAAATTAAATATAACCTATTTGAGTTAAGGATTTATTACTAGTGCTCCAGTGATCACAGGAACATTAAAAAAGAAATGATAGAAATACATGATCTAGGAAAGAAGGCAACTGAAAAACATGAAAGAAAAAGATGAAAAATTAAAAGTATATGATATTCTATTTTGATTTAGCAATTGTTTTCTAGTGTTCTGTCAATTTTTGGTGACCTTTATAATTACATTAAAACTAAGATGCTGAATTAAAATAAAGTTTCCCTTTTATTCAAGCACCAGCATTCACTTATATTACCTATATATTGCATCAAGTTTTGGGCCTCCAATCCCAGAACATTTATTGACTGTCTACTGTGGTTCCAGTACTGTTCGTAAAGATGAATTAATATTCTGTCCTTGGCTTAGAGGCTAGTCTAATAGTAAAGGCACTCTTAGAGGAGCGACAAATATTTTGCCTAGATAAGATCTGAGAGACAGTAAGTGTGAAATTTCTGTTTCTAAAAATGGTAGTGATAGTTGTTTAGAGGGAGAAATCCAGCTGTGTAAGGTGAAAGTGGGGCTTGTAAAAGTGGATCTATGGTTTAAAAATTAGTACTTTGCTCCTAAAATTTTTACCTAAATGTTACGTCTAACAACAGATGAAGAAAGTAATTCTACAGTAGCATCTTCTTTATTCATTTCATATTTTCAGTGCCTTACGTATTGCTTGGCATATAGTAGTTGTCTCAGTAGATGTGTTTGATGAATGAATGAATAAAAATTATTTTTCATGTTAAAATTAAAACTGAATTACATGAGTATGCAACTTTTGTTCCTTCATAATACCCATATTTGTCAAATATGACCAAGTTACTACTTTTTTCTGTTTACTGGTTTCCACCTTAAAAGTGAAATTCTGCGTAAAATAGTGGGGGATTACTAAGTGATCATAACTTTTCTGAAGTAGGTCTTAAATAATTGTCTAAGTCTTCGGTCATTTCCAAATCTCTGTAGTGTAAATGATCATGGGCTCTAAATCAGATCGTTGTACAAGGATAATTGAAATGTCCTGAAATGTCTTGTAACATTCAACATGAGCAGTAGAAACATGACTAATTTCTACCTCTGGCTTTTATTGATCAATTTTGACTCTCTTTTATTGTCCAGAGCCCATGTTAAACCACTTGATTTAGAGATGGCTTAATTCTAAACTTCGTCCATTTTTGATGAATAAGATTCAAGGTTGCAGTAGATTGTTAATCTTATTTGGAATTATTTTAGAAAATTGATATCGGAATTGGAACCATACGTCTTTTTCTTATTGGGGGTACATGGGATCTTTCCCAAATAAATTCGTGAACAACAAGAAAATCTGAGACTTGTTTTTAATGCCATAATGATTAGTTGGAATAATGTATATATTCATGAGATGACTAAAGCACTAGTGGGGTAGTTTCTACTGCAGTAGACTGATTTTTCTTACCCCAGACCTTGAAAGATGAATGTTTTAGTAGATGGAGAGTAGGTGGGGACAATGTTTTAGATATGGCAGAAGCAACTTGAGTTACAGCAATTGGGGAAGGGAATAGAATATTGTGATTAGGAGAAGTTAAGTTAGGAGAAGAGTGGGAGGGAAGATTGAAGGATATCTGACACCTTCAAACACACCCTTGAGTACAAACATTGGCTGAAAAAGTTGATGCAGTTCAGGGTGAAATCACAGACATGATTGACATAAATAGCATTGTGGAAAAAGTGACTGCAAAGACCACACAAGTAGTGGCAGAATAGAACTTATTGGTTATAATTCTTTTGATATTTTACTGAATAACATATGGTTTATTAAATGTTTTTTCAAAATTAATTTGGCAACATTTCTTATCTTCTCTGACTAATTCTATTGGGAAAGCTGATAGCAACATTACTGTGCTAAACTACTAGAGGGAGGTATCAGATGACCAAGTCATGTTTGATACTACAGTTACCAGGCTAATGTGCGGAACTAATGCAGGAACCTAAAACTCAGCACTCTATTTGAGATTGGATTGGACTTTATGAATAGGCAATGAGCTCTTAAAAGAAAAATGACATTCCATATACAGAAAAACCATGGGGATTTCACACCGCCTAATCTAGCTCTGCCACGGAGCATACTTGAGGTCTTTCACATTTTGGCTATGTATCTCCACGTTGGTGCTAAATTTGTGTACCTCGTTTCTGATCTCACTAATACTGAAAGTTCAACTTGCCAGTGACATAACTGGATCTTTTATGAAATAGTACCTCACTTGACTTATAAAGACTAGTAAAACATTTTTAGGCTACAAGTAAAAGGGAAGTTTGTGATGATGTTATAAAATACAATGCTTGGCATGTGGCAGATGCTTAAACATTTGGTGAATAAAGTTATCTTCCTCTTTTTTTTTTTTTTTGAGACGGAGTCTCGCTCTGTCGCCCAGGCTGGAGCGCAGTGGCCGGATCTCAGCTCACTGCAAGCTCCGCCTCCCGGGTTCACGCCATTCTCCTGCCTCAGCCTCTGGAGTAGCTGGGACTACAGGCGCCCGCCACCTCGCCCGGCTAGTTTTTTGTATTTTTTTTAGTAAAGACGGGGTTTCACCGTGTTAGCCAGGATGGTCTCGATCTCCTGACCTCGTGATCCGCCCGTCTCGGCCTCCCAAAGTGCTAGGATTACAGGCTTGAGCCACCGCGCCTGGCCGTTATCTTCCTTTTAAGATGGTCCACTGAAAAAATGGATCAGCCCTTATATGTGTATATATGTTTTAATGACCTCAAGCCTAAAGATCTGCTAGTGATTGCCTTTAGATAACATCTGAGTTAAATGTCTCTGGAGTCCCCTGCCACTGGTATATCTCAAAAGAAATAGCATTATTTGGTTGGGGCAGTACTATCTTTTTCTATTTATCTATCTACACCTTTATAAAGTGGAAGGTTGCAACTCTGGGGGCAATATTCCTCAGGGTATTAGAACAATGAATGAAATGCTTTTATGTATTTTCCCCTCAAGGAGAAATGACTTCTTAAACCCCAAGTGGAAGATTTTTCAT